GAAGATCAGAACAGCCTGTTGCAAAGGGTCATAAGGGGCCTCTCTGCTCTCCACACTGATGCTGCAAATACATGTGCGTGATCCCATAAGTGCATATCTGAGCAAACTTTGAAGGCCACTTTCAAAGCTTTTTGAATTTACAAACACTAAAGGGAGAGAATACAGCTGAGCTGAACCACATTTAAAAAAAATTCTCCCAGCTCTAGCTCTAAGTGAAAGAAGGCTGCATTGCATATGCATAGCTAATTAAAGGTTACCCTGCCTTATTCAGTGTACAAAAATGTTTTCTTCCAGGTCATTGATCAAAATGTTAAATAGTATAGGCTACAAACCAATCACTGAAGGACTCCACTGGAAACACCACTTGATGATGATTCCTCATTTACAGTAACATTTTGAGAGCTGTCAGTTTGTGACACACTATACTTTGGGGGAGTGCCCTGTAACCCCCATATTCATCATTTGTATATAATTGTGGTATTTCATATAAAGAATGCCATGTGAGATATCCTGGGAAAGGTTATGATCTGCTGAAAGCCATTGTTCTATCTAAATGTTTATCATTAGTAGGGCTGTTGATTAATTGCAGATAACTCACACGATTAACTCAAACATTAATCATGATTTTAAAAAAATTAATCGCAGTTTTAATCACACTGTTAAACAATAGAATACCAATTGAAATGTATTAAATATTTTTGCATGTTTTTCTACATTTTCAAATATATTGATTTCAGTTACAACACAGAATACAAAGTGTACACTGCTCACTTTATATTTTTATTACAAATATTTGCACTGTAAAAATGATAAACAAAAGAAAAGTATTTATCAATTCACCTCATACAAGTACTGAAGTACAATCTCTTTATCGTGAAAATGAAACTTACAAATGTAGATTTGTTTTTTTACATAACTGCACTCAAAAACAAAACAATATAAAACTTTAGAGCCTACAAGTCCACTCAGGCCTACTTCTTGTTCAGCCAGTCACTAAGACAAATAAGGAAGATAATGCTGCCTACTTCTTATTTACAATTGCACCTGAAAGTGAGAACAGGTATTTGCATGGGACTTTTGTAGCCGGCATTGCAAGGTATTTGCGTGCCAGATATGCTAAACATTCATATGCCCCTTCATGCTTCGGCCACCATTCCAGAGAACATGCTTCCATGTTGATGATGCTCATTTAAAAAAAATAATGCATTAATTAAATTGGTGATTGAACTCCTTGGGGGAGAATTGTATGTCTCATGCTCTGTTTTACCCGCATTCTTCCATATATTTCATGTTATAGTAATCTCGGATGATGACCCAGCACATATTGTTCCTTTTAAGAACACTTTTGCTGCAGATTGGTACCTTCTTTGCATTTTGTCAAATGTGAGATTTCTAAAGATAGCTATGGCACTCGACCCAAGGTTTAAGAATCTGAAGTACCTTCCAAAATCTGAGAGGGACAGGGTGTGAAGCATACTTTCAGATGTCTTAAAAAAGCAACACTCCAATGCGGAAACTACAGAACTCAAACCACCAAAAAAGAAAATCAGCCTGCTGCTGGTGGCATCTGACTCAGAGGATGAAAATAAACATGCATCAGTCCACACTGCTTTGGTTTGTTATTGAGCAGAACCCGTCATCAGCATGGATGCATGTCCTCTGGAATGGTGGTTGAAGCATGAAGGGATATATGAATCTTTAGCGCATCTGGCATGTAAATATCTTCCGACGCTGGCTAAAACAGGGCCATGCGAATGCCTGTTCTCACTTTCAGGTGACATTGTGAACAAGAAGCGGGCAGCATTATCTCCTGCAAATGTAAACAAACTTGTTTGTCTGAGCGATTGGCTGAACAAGAAATAGGACTGAGTGGACTTGTAGGCGCTAAAGTTTTACATTGTTTTATTTTTGAATGGAGTTATTTTTCTACATAATTCTACGTTTGTAAGTTTGCACTACAGTACTTGTATTAAGTGAATTGAAAAATACTATTTTTTTTTACAGTGCAAATATTTGTAATCGGAAATAAATATAAAATGAGCACTGTATGCTTTGTATTCTGTGTTGTAGTTGAAATCAATATATTTGAAAATGTAGAAAACATCCAAAAATATTGAAATAAATTCTATTCTATTGTTTAACAGTGCAATTAATCACAATTAATTTTTTTTAATTGCTTGACAGCTGTAAGATTCATTAGTGTATATGAAGCTATGCAACTGTCATAGAAATGTAGAACTGGCAGGGACCTTGACAGGTCATGGAGTCCAGTTCACTGCCTTCACAGCAGGACAAAGTACTGTCCCTGACATTATTTTGCCCCAGATTCTTAAATGGCCCCTCTCAAGGATTGAACTCACAACCCTGGGTTTAGCAGGCCAATGCTCAAACCACTGAGCTATCCCTCCCCTGCTTATGTTGTATGGTTGTCACTAAAATATGCTGTGAGTTGTGGAATCTTCCCAGATACTAGATCCCCAAAGACAACAACAAGGGAGGTAACCAGTGCCTGGGTGGGTGTCAAACAACCATCAACAGCCATTGTCTAGCAAGGAAGTTACAATTCAGTGACTCACTTGCACAAGGCCACAACAGGGGAATTGCTCAACCTTGCCTGATGACTCAGTAATGCCCACTGGGCATGCCTGGACTTGTGCTCTGCAAGTACATGGAATGAGGATATTCAATAAATGATAGAGGCCTCATGGTTTGTCCTGGCTCTTCCCCCACTTTCAGTGAAAGCAACAAGAATGCTGGAGCTGAGGAGACTGGTCCCCAAGCTAACAGGCAGAGCATGCATATGAAAGACTGTAACCAACCTGCAGTTTTGACTGGGGTGAGGAAAAACTGCTTAGTCCAGATATTGCCTAGTATAATAAGGTTGAGAATTTAGACTGCGTGCTTATCTTTTATTTTCTTTTGGTAACTACTCTGACTTTTGGCCTATCACTTATTATCATAATCACTTAAAATCCATTTTTTGTAATCAATAAACGTATTCTAGTGTTTATCGTTACCAGTGAGTTTGACTGAAGTGCTTGGTAAATCTACTCAGGCTACAAAGGCTAGTGTATGTCCACTTTCCATTGATGAAGTGGTGAACCAATTAATAAACTTGCATTGCTCACGAAAGGGGCTTGAGCAGTGCTAGAGGGTACATTCTGGTGGTATAACATGGGAGCTTGGGGGATTTGACTGGTGCCTTTCTCTGTGTCATTTGTGAGTGGCTCTGGGAGCTGTCATGCCATCTGGCTGGGTGTGGGGCACCACACGTGGTTGTCCTGAGAGGTAACAGCACTTGGAGGGGTTTGCTGCTTATCACCAGTAAGGCATTGTGAGAGACAATCAAAATTAGTAAATTAAGGGGGCACAGCAGTCCCAGGCTGTGTGCTATGTTAATAGTTTTTTAATCAAAATGTGCAGTACTATGTCAAATGCCTTACAGAAGTACATTACAGCATTTATCAACCAAATTTGTAACCTCATAAAAAAGATATCAGGTTAGTGTGACAGGATCAATTTCCCATGAATACAGGTTGAGTCGCGTTAATTATATTCTCCTCCTTTAATTCTTTATTAATTGAATCCCATATCAGCGGCTCCATTATCATTCCTGGGACCGATGTCAGGTTGACAGACCTATATTACCCAGGTCATCTCATTTACCATTTTAAAATTGGCATAACATTAGCTTTCTTCCAGTCTTTTGGAACTTCCCCAGTGCTCCAAGACTTATTGAAAATCAAAATTAATGGTCCAGCAAGCTCCTCAGACAACTCTTTAAAAAATCTTGGATGCAGGTTATCTGGACCTGATTATTTAAAAATGACTAAATTTAGTATCTTCTCTTTAACATCGTCCAGAGATATGAGTCGAGAGGCAAGAGTATTATCATCACCAAATGATGAGACTATGTTTTTCCCCACATACAGTACAGAAATATTTATTGAACACCTCTGCCTTTTCTGTATTCTTATTGATAATTCTACCATTTCCACCTAGTAGTGAACCAATACCATTGCCAGGATTCCTTTTGTTCCTAATATTTTTTTTAAAAGCTCCTTCTCATTGTCCTTAGCTCTGCTGGCCATAGATTTTTTGTGTGTGTCCCTTTTCTTCCCTTATCAGTTTTCTACAGTTCCTAATTTCTGATTTATATTCATTACTGTTAACTTCCCCTTTCTTCCATTTGTTATATATTATTTTCCAATTCTTTATAGCTGCTTTCCCTTCTCCTCTAAACCAGGTCAGTTTTTAACCCACATATCCTTCTTCCTCATTTTTGGGATTGTGGCTTTTGGGGCATCTGATAAGGTATTCTGAAATCATTCATAATTATCATTTACAATTTTCTGATTAAAATGTTCTCTCAATGCAGATTTTGTAGAAATGTCAGTATTAACTATGGTTGGGATTTTCAAAAGCACCCAAGTGACTTAGGAGCACAAGTCCTGTTGAACATCCCACCCTTTGATGTTAACTAGGGCTACAATATTGAGTCTGCCAAAATTAGCAAAAATTTCTAATGTGCACTCATGACAATTTTTTTGAAATGTTTATATCTCAACTGTATTTTAGTTTTTAGCAAACAATGCAAAGGCCTGTTTCGCATGAAGAGTAGCCTGCCTGAAAAATTTCAGTTTGTGAAATTAAATTGTTTTTTAGTTGTGTGAGTAACGTGTGTTAAAGGTTTACTTAAAGTATTATTTTTTTAAATCTTTCCATAGTAAAAAAACCCTGTCTAAACTGATTTTGCTCAGACTTTTTCCAAAAATAATTAATCTCTGGCTGACATCAAACACGGAAAATGTCAGGCCAAAAATGCAGTTTTCAGAAGGCTATGAGCAACTCTTTGCAGGTTGTAATGAAAGTTCTGATATGATGGTCAATATAGACAGGGCTACTCTTCCCACAGTAATGAACTGAAGCCTGCAGAAACAGAAAGTGTGTGCATAATACTAAGCCTCATTACTGACTCATTAATGTACTTTTTGTTCTAGATAATCTGACTTGAAGATTTCACTTTAGCCAGTCCAAGATGGAAGCCCCACTGGTGAGTCTGGATGAGGAGTTTGAGGATCTGAGACCCTGCTACTTTGATGACAGAGAAGAAAAACCCCATTGTTTTTATGGCTCATCCCCTCAGCATCTGGAAGATCCCTCCCTTTCTGAGCTTGAGAACTTCTCCTCTGAAATTATCAGCTTCAAGTCCATGGAAGATTTGGTGAATGAATTCGATGAGAAGCTGAATGTCTGCTTTCGGAATTACAATGCCAAAACCGAGAACCTGGCTCCTGTAAAAAATCACCTCCAGATACAAGAGGAGGAAGAGCATCTTCAGGATGAAGAGTAAGTAGGCTAGAAATTCTAATAATACATTTAACCCAAAGAGGCTTTAATTTATTTTAATGCATAAAGCTGGTCAAAAAAGGAAAAATAAAAACTAAGAAAAAAAATGAAATTTTTGAAGACTTTTCCATTGTGCAGGGTTTCTAATAGATCTCTTTTCAGTTTTTCAAACATTTTATTGCATTTTTAAATATCTTTTTGGTCAAAAACATTATGGAAATGATTCTTGACACTTGTTTTCAGTAAACAAAAGCATCTGAACCATTTTGATGATGGTTTTGATGATTTTTTTGATTAAAATCAATGGATAAAGAAGTCATGAAAATGTCTGTGAAAAATTAAAACAATTGAATAAGTGAATAGTTTTTGGCAAAATATTTTTTCTTTGGAAAAAGGCCATTTTACAATTTTTTTTTCAAAACAAAACATTAATGTCTGCACTCATAAAGAGATAATGACAAGGCTTCTAGGTCACCATTAAGACTAAGGCTATTTTTACACTACCGTGTTTAGTTGACTTAAGTTACATCGATGATCATAAGCTGCTTTAATTACGATCGGTTGTGCACATCCACACAATGCTCCTTGCGTTGGCAGATCACGTCCACAGTTGGTGCTCTTGCATTGACAGTTAGAGAGTTGTATTGTGGGAAGCTATCCCACTGCAACTTGCCACCCTCTGATCCTGGGAGATCTGGGAAGGGATTGCGATGCATCATGGGAGTTTGCTCACCATCCCATCATTCCATGGGCTTCTGACTTCGTTGCATGCCATTTTTAACAGCCCTCGTAAACTATGTGCCCACCATCTCTGTCTGAAAGCATGGATCCTGAACTGCTGAGCGTTATGACCACAACGCGGCTGGTTCAGCAGTATTTCATGAGCTGTGAAACAGCAAGTGAATCAGTGGTGCCTGCCCTCCTGTGTGTCATGGAAAGAAATAATTCCATATTGCTGCTGGCCTTCATGGAGCAGCTGAACATGGTGGACCATTGGTACTGGGCTCAGGAAACAAGCACTGAGTGGTGGAATCTCATTGTGATGCATGTATGGGATGACAAGCAGTGGCTGTAGAACTTTCGGATGTGCAAATCCACCCTCCTGGAATGGTGTGCAGAGCTGGTCCCGGCACTGCGGCATAAGGACACCAGAATGAGAGCTGCCCACACTGTTGAAAAGCTAGTGGCGATCACTATGTGGAAGCTGGCAACTCTAGACTGCTACCAGTCAATTGCGAATCAGTTTGGTGTTGGATAGTCCACTGTGGGGGTTGCGGTGATACAAGTCTGCAGGGCCATTAATCACCTCCTGCTACAAAGGACTATAACTCTTGGTAATGTGCAGGAAATATTTGATGGCTTCAAGGCAATGGGATTCCCTAACTGCAGCAATAGATGGAACACATCCCAATTTTGGCCCCAGACCATCTTGAGACAGAGTACATTAACTGAAAGGGCTACTTGTCCATGGTCTTGCAGGAGCTAGTGGATCACCAGGGCCATTTCACTGACATCAATGTAGGGTGGTCAGGGAAGGTGCAGATGCACGCATCTTTAGGAACACTGGACTGTATAGAAAACTGCATGCTGGGACTTTCTTTCCAGACCAGAAGATTCTGATGGGGGATGTGGAAATGCCCATAGTGAGCCTGGGAGACCCTGTGTACTCTTTGCTCTCATGGCTCATGAAGCCTTACACCAGGAACCTAGACAGCAGCAAGGAAGCACTTCAACTACAGGCTCGGCAGGTGCCAAATGACCACTGAATGTATCTTTTGGCAGATTAAAAGGTTGCCGGCACTGCCTTTTTGGCAGGTTAGACCTCAACGAGGGAAATATTCTGACAGTCATTGCAGCCTGCTGTACAATGCATAATAGTTGTGAAGTGAAGGGGGGAAGTTTCCCCCAGGGTGGAGTGCGAGGTTGATCAGCTGGCTGCTGATTTTGAGCAGCCAGATACCAGGTCAATTAGAGGGGCACAACAGGATGCCATTCAAATCAGGGAGGCTTTGAAGGAGTATTTTGACCATGATTTCTAGCAATGTGTCTTTATGTGAGGTATTCAGCCAGGGAATGTTTACTTGCTGCTCTGTATGAACCCTGTAATGCTTGATTCCAGAGCGTTACTTGTACTGTGCAAATATTCCTTCCAATAGTCATCGTGTTTGAATGTTAGCACCAACTAATGTGCATACAATACAAATAAAGAGTAAATTTGTATCAAAAATAAAGTTTAATAACAGGACAAAACCCAAACTATTTGTCAAATAGGGGACATGGAAACGAGGAATAGTCTCTCGGTTATGGCTCTCACAGCTGAGTGTAATTCCAGCTTTCACTGTGAAACCAGCCGCTGGGGGTTGAGTGCAAGGGTACTGAGGGGGATCAGGAACATGCACCAAATGTGGTGAGGGAGTTTGGGGAAAGCATGGAATGGAGTTCTGACTGCAGGAGGACTCATGCATGGATGTGCTCTGATTGAAGCATAATGAGGGACTTGGGCATCTCTGTCTGGTCCTCCAGTAGCTTAATCATCCACTCCTGCTCCTCTCTCCTTTCCAGGCTATCCAGCCTGATATTTTCATTAATTGTCTCCCTCCATGCTCTTGTTTCACTATTTGCTGTAGCTGTTGATTGCAGCACTTCACAAAACATATCCTCCTTAATCTTCCTGGTTTGCTGTCTTATCTGATGGAGGTACTCTGCTGCTGTGGTGCTGTGTCCAGTTTTGGGCCCCACACTTCAAAAAGGATGTGGAAAAATTGGAAAGAGTCCAGTGGAGGGCAACAAAAATGATTAGGGGGCTGGAGCACATGACATATGAGGAGAGGCTGAGGGAACTGGATTATTTAGTCTGCTGCTGTACCGTACATCCGCTTGGCCGTTGTATTGTGGGAAGCTATCCCACTGCAACTTGCCACCCTCTGATCCTGGGAGATCTGGGAAGGGATTGCGATGCATCATGGGAGTTTGCTCACCATCCCATCATTCCATGGGCTTCTGACTTCGTT